ATAGAACAAAATTTAAGGATCATGCAGCTCAATCTGTAGAAGAGTTTCACTGTGTCAAGGTCATGCTGAAGCAGCCAAATGACAGAAGAAGATAACAAACTTTATGCAAAATGAGGCAGCAGAAGCATGCGCCTTACCATTAAGCTTTTGAGGCGGAGAACTGAGTGTTCCTAATCAACCAATAATGGCCTCCAGATCCACTGCTGCCAATTAGTTGCATCTGTCTGATATCTCCACTTTGTGATTCTTCATTGTTTTGGGGTCTTATCCTCAGTAGCTTCTTGTTGGGCTCATTGGGTCGTAATCATAAGCTTCACCGGACTTGACAAACCGTCCTTTCACACGCCGTCTCACATCAGCCCTTTCTTTCCTAGAGACATACCTCACTCGCTTGTCAAACCTGTTTATACAAAATGTTAAAAATTAGCAATAAAAATCTTCACTGATGATGAATTTAATTCCTTTCCATGTGGTTGTATACTTACTTGCGAGCCTTCTTCTTTTCCTTGTAGCGCATAACAGCATTGTTACGTGTTGTGGCATGTGAGGAAGCAATAATGTCCTGTGCTGTTGGATGGCACCATGGTTGTGGCTCCCTTAAAAGCTGCTTCATCGATGATGCCCCACAATCTTGGAAATCTCCAGCATTACTTTCTCCCGTGATGCCAGAGAAGGATATATTCGAATGAGTAGGCTTTGATGAATAGCAAATTATTGGCTCCGTTCTACAAGTCATGAACGAATCTGCAGATGCATTATTGTTTACGGCAGGCTGCTGCATTTCGTTTCCTTTGTTTGAGCCCTGAATTGATAAAAACACATAAGAGCATAAGGATCACAGAAAAAAATCATCCTTAACGTTAGTAATACTAGTCTCTGATAGAAGAAGAAGGTTGACAAAACCTCAGGAGCTTCATCTTTCTCGAAAAGACTTCCAATTCCTCCGTGTTCGAAGAGATATCTTGATGAGTTGAAGGCTGAACCAAAGAGTTCTTCATAGTTCTCAAGAGCCAAGTCTACTTCATCTGTAATGAGATTTCCATTAAAGTCATCCTCGCATACTCCAAGCTCCTACAACCAGTACAATCATAAGAAACATTTAGACGCTAGTCTCTTTCAAGATTCTACCACAATATGAAGAAAATCATGTTAAAATACCTTAGCCAATGATGAATTTTCTGGAACACTAGAGCGATCCATACCTTGTGCAGCCGAACTGGTTTCAGGCTGATCTACATTAACATTTAGGACACCTGATTTTTCTCCTGTGCTATCTTCATCTATAGTCATCAAACCCATTCCTTGCTCACAAGCAGATTCTCCAGCAGAAGATATATTCAAATCCATAAAGAAAGACCATATCGAGGATAATTCGGCACTCGAGGGACAACCAGAATAACAATTGATGGTTTGCCTTTTATGATTTGAAGTAGTAGTAGTAGAATTCTTGCCATCATGGCCTAACCAATCACAGTTTTGACATAAAGAAACCCTCTCATCACTACACCGAACAGAAGCTGGCTGTGCATTACACCTCTCACATACCAAAGTCCGCGAATGACGTTTAGATAAAGCATTAGCAGAATGAACATTACGGTCACACGAGAGACACAAACATGCTGCATCAGACCGACAATACACCATTGATCTTTGTTCATCACAGAAATCACACATATAACCCATCTTTCAAACTGAACCAATCTAAATGTTTGGCTCAACTGTCACACTGAAGAAAGCAAGCTCCTTTCACTAACAAAGAATCAAAACCCTTTTGGTTAGTCCCTTATATCATAATCTTACCAAAATACATTAATATAACTAACAAAAGATAGAAACTTTGCATCAAAAGCAAGACCAGAAGTAGATAAAGATCCAATCTTTTTGAACATTTCTTTCTTAAAGATCGTAAATTCCTATCTATGAGTCTGCTATAAATCAAAAACCAATCAAAAGACATCAGAGAAACCAATTAACATCACAGAAAGACTTCAAATTTCAGATCAACATGTACCAATCACAGAAGTGAACTAAAAAATTCTAGATTTCTTATCACAAATCAAAGCAGGGAAAGAAGATCCATTTCAAGATCAGCCAAAAGGATTGAGAATCAAAGCAACCCTCACTAAAATAACAACACAAGGGTTTTAAAGAACTCACATAGGAGAGAGATCGTGAAGAATCTTCTGAAGCAGAAACACCAAAAAGGAATGCTTTTTGAAACGAAGAAGCTTGAGAAATAGATGATTCCACAACTTCTTCAGCAAAAGAGAAATAGATGGATAGACAATGGGTGGGTTGTGTCTGCAAAGGGACATGTAGGCAGGCATGTGACATAAGCTGATAATTCTAGAAACATTGGGTAAAAAATGTAAAAGAACCCATTTTTTAAGGACCTTAAATATATTTATGAGTGTAAAGTCACGCGCCCGCGTGTAGACAAAGAGTGTGTACTCGCGATCTAGATGGCACAAGTGGAAACTTTTCCGATTCTGGATTCTCAAAATCGTCCTCTTTTAGATGCTTTAAGGCTTTTAAGCCCAATCAAAACAATAACTTCATATGTGGCCATTTAAAACATGAAATAAACGTTGACTAACGTTTGAGACATGGAACTTCGTTGACCAGGCCAAAATAGACATGCCGTTATCAGTCGTTAACGGAACTTCTAACGCCCGTTATCACCCGTAACGACTCTGTTAATCAACTTTCAAATTGTGGCCATATTAGACATCAACTTCATATGTGGCCATTCAAAACATGAACTAATCGTTGACTAACATTTGAAACATTAGAATTCGTTGACCAGGCCAAAGTAGACATGTCGTCATCATTCGTTAACTGAACCTATAACATCCGTTATCACCCGTTAACGACACTGTTAGTATGTCCAAAAAGATTTTTCCCAAATGAAAACACCAAATCCCCAAATCTATTTCTACAACAGCTCAAACAAGATGAATAGTCCTATTATCTCTATCTGCATTTCAGAAAAGCTACATTTAGTCTAGGCCTGTGCATAATACCCGAACTCGAAGAACCGAACCGAACCCGACCCGAAAAATCCGACCCGAACCCGAACCCGAAGTTTTAAAATACCCGAACGGATTCTAAACTTGACAACCCGAAAACCCGAACCCGACCCGAACTCGAACCCGAACAAGTACCCGAACATACCCAAAATATAAGTACATAGTTATAATATATTAGTAATATTTATACTTGTAATAACCTAAGTGCCAAAATTA